GGTATCATCACTCCATACAGCGGGCAAGTCCAAGAGCTGAAGCACCGGTTGGGCAACCAGATCCGTTGCGAGGCAAACAGCGTGCAGTGTAGCATGAAGACTAGTGTGGGATGTTACGAAAGATTTCTGGCCAATTTTGATGGAAGCCCAGTGATAAGCACTGCACCAAGGGTGCTCGTTCCCGGCACCCAACAGATGCAGGTAAGTTCAGTGGACGGCTTTCAGGGCAAGGAGAAAGAATTGATCATTTTCACAGCAGTTCGGAGCGGACTCCAGGCACACAATACGGAGGAGAGGGTTTTTCTCGCTTTGCCTGCGCCAGTTGGCTCATGGCGGCATGCACGCCATAAGGTGGGTTTCCTTCAAGATCCTCGACGTATCTTGACTGGATGAAGGATAGGGGGTCTCATAGAACCAACAAGTTGGTTCAACACTGCTGAAGATCAGGGAATGTGACGGTGCCGTGTAACAGCGCAAGGTCGCCTGAGTCTCAATTGTCTAAGGTCTGAACGTTTTGTTAACTCGGGCTCGACGTGGACTGCTCATCCTAGGGTCTGCTAAGATGTTGCAGCGCGACCCAACATGGAAGGTGGGAAGTATTGGTGCCCAGCTACAGCTTTCGGGATTTGTCCGGATGCAGATACCTCTGCATTGTTGCAGGCATGGATTGACTGGTACCACGCGACTGTGAGGGCCAACCAATCCTAGTTTGCAATGAGCCATGCAGCATGTCACCAGCAGCTTCAAAAAGTTGGACAGCGCAACATCAAGATGCATAGCCCCCACATGAATGGTTAAAGCCCATTGCACACACGTTTTACAAACATTAATTACTAGCATGTTGAAATTAGTGAAGATGTGAGGGTTCCAGCCTGCCATTGCAGTTGCTCATGGGCTAGTAACACATCGGAGATTGGATGTAAAGTCATGGCAGATCGCATTCAGATGCGATTGGGTTTTGGACAGGTATTCAGAAGCTGTGTTTTTGCTGCAAGCAGACTGAAAGCTGTGAACCGCCGTTGCCTCTTCTGAAATCTCTGCAGCTCGATGGGTCACCGGGGTGAGTTCGCCAGCCGCTGAAGCGCTGTTGGTGAACCTGCACCATGGAGCGGCCATTGTCCTCATCTTCCTGGACGTGGGTAGGGCACATCACAGCTGGCAGTTTACTTGCCTTGATGTTTATTGACAAATGGAAGATCCATGGAACGCATGAGCACTCAATTTTCTTCATTCGGATTTTCACATCTCAATTAAAATATTCCGGCTGTCCGAGCAGGTAGTTTCAAATGGAAAATGCCAAACCTGGCGTTGGGAAAAGGTTTGCGCACACACTAGACAAGAACTGGATCATTGAAGTGATCCGATGGGAACTGAATCCCTTCAACATGCAACTAGAAAGGAAATATGTTAAAAACTGTCATATACATATGTACATATATACATATATATATATGTATGGGACTATGGTGGCCACCAGCTGCGACTTAAATGCGCCCAGGTGCACCGCCAAAGTCCCGCAGATACGTTTACACGGGTCCCGTGGAGGTGTCTTCGTTGATCACCAACCCCGTCGGGACCCTGGTGATCCCCTGCCATTTTAAAATAGTAATATAATAAGCGGCCAGCGAAGTTTTACATCTGTTCAGACGTTTCGCGCACGCACACACACACACGCACACCCTGCTCTAGGCAGGGTGACGTCCTGACAAATGAGGTGAAGGTGAGGATGACAAGGGCATGAGAATGAGATGAGCATGAAGGTGAAATGGAAAATACGGGACAGGAGGAGGGGAACGCAAAAGAAGAGGGAAAAAGAAAACACCAACACCAACACACCTGGCCCGGAGCGGGCAAACCCTGAAAGGGCAAGAGAGAAGAAAAGCGGAGGCCGACGGAAACGGAGCAAAACCAGCGGAGGGGGGAAAAGACAGAAGCGCCTGAACCAACCTACCACGGCGAAACCTAAGCCTATCTCAGCACGCGCAGGACCCAACCTACCTAAGGAGGGAAGCACGCATGGGGGCCTAGTTGATGACAACCGTGGAAAAAACCCAGTTCCTAATGAGAAGTTCGTGCGTTACTCCCTCGAAGGGACGGTAGTCGGCCAAACCCTAAACGGCTGTTCAAATCGTCACGAATTAGATGGGATACACAATCAGCCAACCTCACCAAATACCAAAGAATACCATACCTGCAGGAACAGGACATGCCTGACGCCTTAAATGCCAGATGATATGAACCCATGCTGTCACGTGTACTCTCTGTCAGTAAAATGATGAAGTTTTTCGGCTGTTCCGTGCAGCATCGCTTGAGCAGAGTTGGAATTCCGAGGTATCACGGATACAGCAGGATCAGCAGGACGAAAAGGCTGAAGAACGGCAAGGCCAACTGTTTCACAATACTTAGACGAAATACCAGGTTAAAATGTGTAAATTCAGAGTTCCGTTCGTCCACATTCTCCTAACTGGTTTCCTCAAATGGGTCCATGGCGCCATGTCGGACCAACCATAGAGATCACACCAGAAAAGAACTGGACCATTGAAGTGATCCGATGGGAACTGAATCCATTCAACATGCAACTAGAAAGGAAACACATTTAAAAATGTCATATATATATGTGTGTACATATATATATGGGATTATGGTGGCCACCAGCTGCCACTTAAATGCGCCCGGGTGCACCACCAGTCTTCGTCGATCACCGATCCCCTGCCATAATAAAATATTAACAAAATAAGCGGCGAGCGAAGTTTTACGTCTGTTCAAACGTTTGACACAGACACACACTTGCTCAGAAATATCTTATCGAATTACTGTTGTGGAGTGCATCGGGCGTGCACAAACAATCCCCTAAAGTCTGACAGGAAAATTGGATGACTTGGCGAGAAAACCAGTGTAGAAGAATTCTTTCTTTGTCCTTGCAAAAAGCAACTGTTCCATCTGACGAAGTCAGCAGTAAATCAGATTGCGAAAACCGTACAGTGGATTGAAACCTGTTTTCACCGAAGTTCTGAGGAAGGTTTTGATGCAGCAAAATCCAAAATGGAAATTGGAAACAAACGACATGCCGGTACTAGGCTTAGCCGGTCGCCATTGACGAAATTGAAAATTGTTGCAGGTACACGGAGGTGATCAATCTCCGCTTCCCCCATTGTGGAATAGCTTCGTTGGCACAAGTATCCACAATGGGCCTGTGCCCCCTGCTAAGTTAGAAGTTTTACATCTTTACAGATGGTTCACACACACACCCTCCCGCAGGAGGGTGGGAAATTAAGGTCCCGACAATGAGATGAAAATGAAGAGGAAGGGAAATGAAGATGAGGTGAAGATGACAATGAGATGAAAGTTACTTAACCAGGACGCAAAGAGGGGAACGCAAAAGAAGAGGGAAAGAGAAAACACCAACACATGAAACCTAGCCCCCAACGGGCAACCCTGGAAAGGCAAGGGAAAAGAAAAGCGGAGGCCGACGGAAACCGGAACAAGACCAGCGGAGGGGGGGAAGACAGAAGCGCCTGAACCAACCTGACACGGCGAAAACCTACATCAACCTCAGCACGCAACGGGCCAAACCTACCTGGAGAGAGGAGAACGCAGGAACACATGAAAAAAGGGACCCATGGGGAACTAGTTAATGAAATGATGCATCCACAACGCATGCAGAATTCATGATAAGGCTCAAAGGCCCTCGGCTTTCAAGTCACAACCCTCTGGACGGCTTACGTGTTCAACCCTTGAATTACGTGCACAATTTTAACCTCACCAAAGTAACCAAAAGGAAGAGACCACACCTGTAAAGCATGTCCTGTTACCTGTTCATGTCAAATGGCTGCGGGCTGTCTCTTGATATAACCGAACGAAGGTTGTCGTGGCTTCAGGCTACAAACCCTGGCATCTCTGGAAAAAGGTGAAGCCACATACAGCGGCCAGTTGTTCAACACTTGGCGATCGACGGGGTGAAAACCGAAAGAAGGCCAGCAGTTCACTTTACTTACACGAATTACTAATTCAAAAGTGTAAATTCAGACATCGTTTTACTGTCAATTGTTAGCCTGGAAAGGCTTTCCCCGAAGGGTTCCTGCCAACTTGACGTAAACAGCAGGAATGACACACTTGCTCAGAAATATCTTATCGAATTACTGTTGTGGAGTGCATCGGGCGTGCACAAACAATCCCCTAAAGTCTGACAGGAAAATTGGATGACTTGGCGAGAAAACCAGTGTAGAAGAATTCTTTCTTTGTCCTTGCAAAAAGCAACTGTTCCATCTGACGAAGTCAGCAGTAAATCAGATTGCGAAAACCGTACGGTGGATTGAAACCTGTTTGCACCGAAGTTCTGAGGAAGGTTTTGATGCAGCAAAATCCAAAATGGAAATTGGAAACAAACGACATGCCGGTACTAGGCTTAGCCGGTCGCCATTGACGAAATTGAAAATTGTTGCAGGTACACGGAGGTGATCAATCTCCGCTTCCCCCATTGTGGAATAGCTTCGTTGGCACAGGTATTCACAATGGGCCTGTGCCCCCTGCTAAGTTAGAAGTTTTACATAGAACGTCGTGGGTTGAAATCATGGCAGATTTTGTTTTCCAGTTTGGATACTTTCCGGGTTTCATAAATCAATCCATGACTTTGAAAGTGCTTGTCCAAAGGTTCAAGCGAGCTGCCATGCGACTGTTCCAATCCCACCAGCTGTCCATTACTGCCCTGAGATCTACACATTTGTTGAGTTTTGGCTTTTGCCACGTAGCTTCCCTGCACATTTCTCGTTCATTCCATTTTCCGGATCATATCTTCGCTTTCTTGATGGGGTGTGCCTCTAGATTTGCTGCAAAAAATAATCCGCTCAATTTTGTGCCACCTTTACATGAGTTCTTTTGATTGAGTGATGCTTGCATTCAAATTAAATGGCATTCGCCTACGCCGTCTTCGCCCAGTTTCTTAGCTTGGAGGTGGCTGCGTTGTTGGAGAAAAAAAGAAGTTTTACATCTTTACAGATGGTTCACACACACACACAAAGGCACCCCCAACAAAAAAAAACTGCTTTGATTTTTTTGCCGAGGAGCTCGTGGATAGAGGATAGCAAGTCAAGAGCTCCTTCCCAGTTGCCAAGGCGCTCATAGGCAGCCATTGCAGCGCCATAGTGGTACACGTTGACCTAGACAGTTTGGATCGGAAAACATTGAGGTACCAAGAATCTTTGATTCATGTTGATTCTAAGTGATTCTAAATGATTCTTAAATGATTCTAAATGTAAATCCAGAAGTAATCTGCAGACTGCCGAAATAGGCCCTGGAACTTTTGTAAAAAAAGTAGGCCTGGATGAAGGAGTCTCGCATAACAAGCAAGACAGACTGAACTAATCGTGCCAGCTCAGAATGTTTCTGCCGTGCCAATGTGCTCAGAAATGCCGTGGCTTTTTTTGGTCGAGCTTTCCATTGTGGGAGGATGTTGGCCAGCGTGTCTGCCACCTGGGAACGGGCATGTCGCCACAATCATGAAAAGTCAAAAAAAAAAAACGTGTTGCACAACACTGCACAGCGGCACATCCGCGCATATCTGTACACTTCTGTAAATCACTGTAAATCTCAGAGCCTGAAGGTAAACAACGAGATGTTGGCAAGTATTGGTATCATCAAAACGTGTCAAGACTCCATCGGCCTTACTTTGGGTCACCTTCCGCTGGCGAAGAATTTCTTGGAGCTCCATGGCACCATGCTCCGACTTTGGGCCAAACTTGGCTGGAAAAGGCTGGGAACCCACGGTCCATTTCATATGTGCAACGTTGTGCAATGTTGTGCAACATTTTGCAACTCCCGGCGGGTTCTCAAACTAGCCTGTGCTCGTTGCGCTCCACAACTTCCTTCTTCACTTCACTTAGCGGTTCCGGCCGACTGCACAAACCTCGCCTTCTCGCATGCACTAATTGCAGAGGTCCAAGTAAAAGCATCCGCCTGAATCACAGATGCCGTAATGTACCGTAATGTACCGTGATCTTGCTGTGGCTTGCTGTGGCTTGCAGTTTGCAACCGAAAAATCCGTACGATTCCACGCCTCCAGCTTTGCCAGTCCCAAGCTCTGCAAAGCCGAAAGAGCCAGAGGCCACTCTCCGCCTGAATGCAACGATACACGCGCTTGGACAACCGATCTTGAACGCAAGCACGCTCATATACGCTCATATATTACAATTGGTAGACTTGATATGAATTGATTACAGCTCTTTGCATCGATCAAAATACATCAACATACAATATATATCGGGAGACCGTCTAGTACATTTCGTATGATTTCGCCCACCTCGCGCGAGGGCAGTGATGGCAGAGTTTGAAGCCTTGACAGTGCAAGCACTCTGCTACCGCATCTGCTGCCCCAACCAATGCTTTGGACGAAAAGCAACTGCTTGGAGCTGTGCTACGAGGCTTGATGCAGTTGGAAGACAAGAGCAACCTGTTAATTCAGTTGAGATATGCTGAGATGCATGATCCAATTATCAGATATTATCAGAATGCTTCACATCACATTCACGTTTTGCGGAGACTCACTCTCAAACCTAGTGCCCGTTGCCATTGTTTTCCTTCAGACATCGCAGTAGCTGCCTAGGCTAAAGAGCTGCTGGCATTGAGAAAAATGTAGAAAAATCAGGAAATGAGTTGCACATAGTTGCACCACCTTCCACGTGTCATGGAACAGCGACACCTTGGGTCGTGACCGACGCAGCGCTGGCTGCCAAGCTCTCAATTCCAAACGCCTAAAACTTGGCGCCAAGGCTTACGGCTCAAGACGGGCAATCGTTCAAACTACGTGGCAAGATGTGGCAGGAATGTTCAAATCATTCAATACTACAATATGCTGTCGCCATGTGGCTATCACATATGGTGCCACATGCGCCGATGAAATTCGGATTTTGGAGCCGTTCCAAGCCTTGGTCCACCAGAGGAGGTCCAGACTGCGCTCCCAACAGCTGGCACTCTCAGCAGCGCCCACTGTTGCTTGTAGCATCGGCGCACTGGCGCATTCCATTCGGCGTGACGCAAAGGAAGAGAAACGTCCATAAAAAGACAAGACAAAATAAGACAAAATAAGACAAACAACTCAATCGGCCTGGAGCCATTGTCACTCTTGGCTACATCCAAACCTGAAACGCATTGGGACATTGCGCATTTGAAGTAGAACGTGCTTCGCAAAAGAGGCCCTTTTGAATTCCGAAGGAGACAGGGCCTGCCATCCCATGTGCTTGGACCAAGAAAAGAGCTTGCTCCCATCGCGCGACGCCCTGGGATCTTGCCCAAGACAGAAATAGTTTCAAGGACACTGCCATCTCAGCTACATGTGTGAAGTCCCTAACCCAAAATCTTCATCTGTTCCATCCCTCCGATCCTCAAGAATGGCTGCGAGTGAAGCAAGTGTAAAAAGATCCGGCATTGGTTCGCTGTTGCAACCTGGCCAGAAACAGCAGCCAACCAATTGAAGGCAATCTGAGCGAACACATAAATATAGGTTTCTAACCAACAAACCAAGTAAGAATGAGATACAATTGTGGACTGGACTGATTGCGACAGCAATGATAGCAATGTTTATAGGTTCAAATCAGTTCAACGAGGCCTTGCCACATGCTGTCAAAGGCCCTGAGCCGCAGGTTCAGTGACAGCACGAAGGAAGGGCAAACAGGCATCATGCAGGCACTCTAAAATTGTGCCCTGTTGCCCTCTTGCCCAAGGCATCCACTGAATTGCCGCCTCCCATCTCCAAGATTGCAAGTCCTCCGAATGGACGACTACAGCAGCTAGTAGCCGACTCTGAAGTTTCAAAAACATCAAAGGATACAGTATACTATACAAATACGGAGCTTGGCGATTGCCGCTGAGCAGCCCGTGTGGAAAGCAAACTGTTCAGTGACACCAAACTAGGTTTGCCTCTCCTAAGTGCGCAAGGTCCACGTTGAAATGTGTTGAACAATTCAATGCAATACACATGATGAACTTGGCAAAATACATCAAACATCATCAAACTACTCATCAAAACATATCAAAAGGCATCAAAGCATGTCAAAACATACAAAAACCCAATGCCAGCAGGCCACAACTGCAAACTTTCAAAGAGCTGCCTGGACGATGTGAGCAAAATGGATCAGACCAATGCCATCCAATGCCAGCATATGACCCATATATGACCACTACTATCAGCATATATCAGCATTCTTGAGGCTTCTCCAAACGTCTTGCTGCAACATGCTGCAACTAAGGCACGCAGCTTGAGACCATGCTGCGCACTTTTGTGCGATAGCAATTGCAGAATTGAAGGCTCGCATGCGAAACTCCTCCATTTCAATAGATCACAAGACTCTCAAGCATCGCACCTCTGATTCATGTCCCTTATCCAGTTGTTTTCACTGATCGAGTCTGCTCGAAGGATTTCACTTGCTGAGGCGAAGACTGGGATGACTGGGTCAACCTCAGGCTCGTGGGTCGTTCGTTTGTTGAAGAGCAATGTGAAGGTCGTAGGCCAGTGCCCCAAATCCTGCGTGGCAATGATTCCACAACTGGCTGCCATTTGATCCAGCACCTCGGCAACGAAACACACACTTTGTTGCAGAGCCGACTCGACTTCCAGTTGCGACATGTTGTTACAGTATGTTACAGTACAAAAATGTACAAAAACAGCTCTCAAGCTGATGGCGAATATTTGCCCTGCTCATTCGAGGTGCCACTCTTCTACTTGGAGAATCCTCCAGCAGCACCAAGCACTCACCCCAGCAGGACTTTGATCCAAGCGTACCTGAAACTGCACATGCATCAACTATAGCTCGAGGCGCAGGATCCACACGTGTCTCAAGTATGATGAAACAGGATTGGCATAGAAGTCATAAAGTCATAGAAGTCATGAAAGTTATGAAAGTCATGAAAGTCATAGATTGATAATGATTGCTACTAGTGTAGCACGTGTAGCATGGTACCAGGCGAGGCAAGGGACTCAGCCCAGAATTCACCGATATAATGTCCTGCTCAAATTTCGCCATCCGTGAGAGAATTCTGGGGTGCAGCATACAGGATATGCATGGAACATCATGGAACTATGGCAGATGGCAGGATCACAATGTCGACCAAACTCCTTCTCCATGTGCACCCAATGGCAGCTGAAGCAGTGATCAAAATATTTTGGCTCACCTGAGAACATGTGAGCACTGATTGCATCTGATAAGATGTGACAATGCCTTTGGCTTCATCATATTTCATCATGCTTCATGTTACAGTCGGCTACAGCCGGACGACATCTGCAGTCGACCACGGACGAGAACCGCCGAAAACGCACTTTCTCAGCTAAGACTCAGTGTCCATTTTTATCCCTTGATCTTCTGAGCGCTTGAGCATGGTAAAGGCATGCTCCCATTGCAAAGCGCCTTGCAGAATTTGTCCAAACTGCGCAAGTGTTTTCAGACTGGCCATGACTGGAAGAAACCTGGAACCTCTGAGAAGTTTAAGTTGATCTCTGTGTGGCCAGTTTGTTGCGCCTTTTAATGCCGTGGCCACTGAATTCGCAGTGGAGATGTCTGGAAAGCATTGGGTCCAAAGCGCCAACGAGCGCTCCCATCGGAGCGGCGCAGCGTCCAGTGCGACAATAGCAGCATTGTACCTTGCTACATCTTGCTACATCGTTGCTGCGCAGAGATGCGGCAAATTCATGGGGTCCAGTAGTTCAAACTCATGCATTTCAAGTATTTTCAAGTCACCTATACCGAGTTCCTGCAGTATTTCAACTTCGGCAGGTGACATTGGTGTGTCCTCCTTTGACTTGAGACCATTCTGGCCTGGAATAGAGCACAAGGCCCCCCCATTTGAATCCATTTGAGACATCTCAATACTTCTCACACATGTCTCAAATCCGCCCAGCGATTCTTCATCAGTTGTTGAATGATTTGAATGTGCTGCTTGCCGCTTGCCTTCAGTCTGGGAGCGCAAAACAGCCAAAGCATCTCGCCACCATCCCACCACACCCAACGCGCGGATGGCATGCGCATAGTCCTTCACAACAGTAGCAAAATCCAGTCAAAATAGCGTACTAATCATATACTAATCATTCTAATTAATTCAACCTAATACCATTTACAAATCAATATCAATTGGCTGATTTTTGAGCTTGCCAACTTCTTCCCCATGGCGGGGCAATCACATCACCTGCGTGGAAGTGAGGAGACAACTCTGCTGCAGTTCGGCCAGCGAATGGGCAATCTGTGCAATCTGCGCAATCTGCAAATGTTTCAAAGTCTCCGCACTTCCTTCAGCGCAAGTTGCATGAGGATTGAGGTGACGAAGAATGAAACGAAACATATGGAAACCACAAATCGGAAATCGGGCATAAAGACGATGAATTCAGCCGTTTGCACTTTGCACTTCGGTTTGAACTTCCGTTTGAACTGGCTAGCTATATCTAGCTATGAGATCTTGATCTTGCATGCCAAGCCTGCACGGAGCTGCTGCAGCAACCAAAACTTCTTTTGCTTGCGACTCTTACGACCCTTGCGTCCCCCCAATTCAGCGGAGGCATGAGGCTTCCTGACAGCCGGAGTATCCAACAAGGTTTCTGTCGAAATGACAGGGTTGCCAAGTCGAAACATGCAGGAAAAAGATGGAAAAAGTCAGTCCTGACCATTGCTTTGTTGGCGTGACCGTGCTTTGCGCCATCTGCACTTCTAATATCTTCTAACTATATGCTCTGCTTATACGATCTTGCAAGCACGCAATCTGCTAATTCCACTGCATATTACATGGAATGCTACTAAGAACATCTAAGAACCATGCTGGGCAATGCTCCTTTCTTGCTCTCAAAAATTATTCTGTTTTCCAAACTTAACGAGCCCAACAGCTATGCCATTCAAAACAACTCTCAAAGCTGTCTCGGCTGTTATCAGTAAAATGCACGAGTCTGCTGGAATAAGTGCGAAGATGCAATGCAAGTGATTGCAGGTGCAAAGCTGCCAAAAGGCATACAGAATAAAGCATGCTGAAATTTACTAAAACACAATAGATATGATATGATTGTTTTCATGCTTTTTCCTTGCAGCCCGCTCCGGCAGCTAGTCAGCTAGTCGACGTACCAGGTATCCTGAACCAACGTGGAAGCAACCTTGACAAGTTTGAGGAACCACATGACTTGCACATACTTGCACGGCGTTTTGCCCCATCGAAAATAGAAAGACTGCCTCACGCTTCTCGCGCACATTGCCTTCGCCTCAGTCCGCAGTCATGTGCAGCCGCAGCCCAAGGACGGTGCATCACCAGGATGCCAACTGCCAAGCGTAAAGGCTGCTTCTAGCTGAAGCAATCGATGGTTCTTTTTTTGCCTGCCAAAGGATGGAGGCCATTCCAGGCTTCCACTCTTCCTTCTACATGAGAACGCATTGCGCCACTGAGAGGATCGGAAAAGAACAAGTTTCTTTGTCATTTCTTGTTATTTCATGCTGTTTCGTCATGCTCTGTCCCGCGCCTTTTGATTCGGAGCCTGCACTCCAGCACGTCCCCGCTCTTCGCTTGCAAAGGAGGGAAGAATCCAAACAACCTCACGGTGCTCATGGTCAATCAGCGGTCCCAAATACTGCGAAATGGCGCAAGAGTGCACCAAGTTGCCAACTGTTGACCCCAGTGCGTAGCAGTCCCGGCAGTCGGGGCAGTTGTCAGCTCGATCACCTGCAAAGATTTTGGTTGGAACCTGCTAGCATTTGGCAGCTTCTGGCAGTTGCATGTCAGGCCTCTTTAGTTGGGTTCTGGGGCGAGCCGCGGAACATCACATTGAAGTACCTACATCATAATTAGACGGAGAAAGACACAGTATGCCTTCAGAACATCTCAGCAGGTGCGAAGCATGATAAAACTGGGTTCAAGCGTATTCAAGCTTGGGAACCCGGTGAAACCCTCAAGCTGCGTATCTTTGCTGATCCTGGGCTCAGGAGGCTGCTGGCCGAAGAAATATCGCAGGAAATTGTGAAGCATTGCTGGGTTTGTCTGAGCACTGTCCTTCTCTCTTTCTCTCTCTGAATTCTTCCACGGCTTGACAACCTCTCAACAAAATGAGGCCTCATGGAACATGTCAAGGGCTTCTCCACATCCTGGTGCCAGTCCGGCACAAGTCTGCCATTATCTTTCACAATTTTATCACATGACATAGCGACTGGCTGAGTTGCTCCACAAGGAGTTGATAGCTTAGCACGTCATAGGACATCCGGGGACATGCATGAACATACCACCTTGAGATCCTCCACAGTAATCCGCAAGAGGTCAATCTCCAGTAAGGGGCTGCCACCGCTCGCCAACTGCTTTGGCCTTGGTCAGCTACAAGAAACGTCCAACTTTGTGGATTTAATCAGGGTGACGATGAAGATTGAGCTTGCGAGCGTCAAATTGACAAACATCCCGGTTTGCAAGTAGTACCTTGGGCCAATCCACAAGAACACAACTATCACATCGTGCGACGGGATATGACGCCATTTCAATGGCGTAAAAACAGAGAGGGGAAACGCAGAGGTCACTTCCTCTGTTCCTCCAGGAACTCTCCGCGCATGCACGAGAAATCGCTTCCGTAGTAGTTCGTCATAGCGTCGTTAAAATCATCAAAATGCCTCGGTATTGTGCTGTTTTTGTGTGCAGAAAGACTTGGTGTAGGCAAAGCAACTGATTTGATAATTATGATAATTATGTAGATTGTTTTGATTCTTGTCAGATGGTTTGTGGTTCGTAAGCATCTGACTGCCTCTCCCCATCAAAGGTCTGCTGCTTTTCACGGCACGCTTTGGCAGACCCCACTGGTGCTAAAAATAGCGTTGCGTGCGAAGGGAAAAGCGCACCTCCTGGCAGCATGAGCAGCTGAGCAGCATGAAGCGAAGATAAAGCAAGACCAATACAATGCCCATTCGACGGCAACACATTGTACCGAATCAATCCCAAATTCATATTGTACTGACCCCTTTTTTTGGCGATTCTGAGTTGACGATAGAAGAGCAGGCCTGGCTTTAGGAAGCGGTCTCTAGCAATCAGCACGCCTGGGGCAGTCCGAACCAAGTGCAAAAAAATGACAAACATGTGAGCATGTCACATATTGTAACATGCAAAGCCTCCAAAGGCGGATCAAGCAAACATAAATTGAATTAATTCGAGATTGGTTGCTGTCAAGCATGCTTTCCCTCAGAAGAAAGTAGCCCATCCATTCCTGAGAAAAGCAGTGCTGACTGCTGTCATAATCAGGGTGCCAATGTTCACTGCGTGTCATTTATTTCACCAACACAGCTGAGCCGCACTAATGATGACATCGACCATATATGGCAAGGTCACTGTCTCCTTGCGATTTCAGAGGCGTTGGCAACCGTTGGCGTGTGAGAGAAGTGTCTGCTACAGGCAGCACTTGAGCTGAGATCCATACCACAGTTCCTTGGACTACCTTGATGATGTGACTAAGTCCTGGTGAGAAACGTCACACCAATGGGGACAAGGAAAACAAAGCACGAACAAAGAACTCCATCTGCAGCTGCATCGGATACCGCTAAACACATCTAAACATATTTGAAATCATTTGAACATATTGAACATATCTGGACACCTTGAGCTTGAATAATCTTTCTGCTGCGAACTGCCATATCCGTGGCCTCACAGCAGCTGTCCCAGACAGCGCAACGAGCAACATCGTCCAGCATTCTCCAATAACCCAAGTATGATTATCATCAAGTATATATCAGATTGTATCAGCATATAGAATTATATAGATAATATCAGTATCAAATACAACACCAGCAACAAGTCTGAAGCGAATTCCAGTGCACAGTGATCTTCATCGTCTTCAACGATCTTCAATGGGTACAGTGCTGCTCGCTTCAACGCTGTCACCTCGACAGCGAACACCTCTTTGGCACCAGCCTTTGCTGCAAAAATTGACCTTCAGCAAGTTACATCAAACAGCAACAAGAATTCAACAAGTTGAATGTCAGAATGCACTGAACTGGCAAAACTGATGCTGAGAGGCTTGCTTAGGGTTTCTTCACAAGGAATGGCAGGGGTCCGTATGAACATCAAGCAACTTCCATCTGCTAAAATCTTGAAACTTTATTTTTGTCCACACTGTTCCTAGTCTTTCTTAGTGATTCTTAGTGACATGGCCGAGAAACAGAATGCCACTTCCAGCTCCAACGTCCAAGACCTGGGGAAAGCATGGCCACGCGCAGACGAAACATGACGAAACTATCCGTTGTTGTGTTTGAAACTATACTTAGAATTACTTAGAGTCTTTGAGGGCCCGGCAACTTTGTCTTTGAAACTATCAGGATTCCACCTCAAACTCAAAGACCGCGGAGTCTGAAGGCAGCGGGGGCCTGTGTTTGTGCAAACCTAAGATGTGTTGTGAGAGGTCGATCATAGGATTCAAATTTACCTAAGGCCAAAGCGCTATTGCATTGAAATAGGATCCTGTGCGATGCTCATCCTTCAGCAGTTGGTTTTGCGAAATGCTGAAGAAGAGCACAACACATCAGCACAATATCGCACAATGCCCCGCCTCAAGCATATCCATCTGATGGTACAGAAAAGCATACTCGCAGAAGTAGTTGGCATTGTCCTGACGTACTAGCCCTGTTGATACGGGCGACTGATGAGACTGCCTTGCCGACACTGAGTCATCTCGCAGCATCTGGAAGCGGGGACGCTTGGCTAGTGCAGACTTGTCACAGTTTCATCTGGCGGCTTTCCATCTTGCAAACAGCCTGATGCGAATCCTATGAAAGCAGTGCTGATGCAATTGCATTGCTTGCAGCGAATGACAGCGGACGGTTTCACACGCTTGCACACACGGTGCACATGATTCACATCTGTTCTCCAAAGGCCTATGCCATTGGCAGCTGCGTAGCCTTCTTGGGCCATTGGGCACTGCACTTGATGAACTTTGCTGGGAGTCTTGCTGGGAGTCTTGCTAGGCCCTTTCTTGCCGGCCGTTTCAAGTAAGGAGCTTCAAAGCGAATCTACTCATATTTTGATGTGGCTTCTCGACATCTCCAAAAAATGCGGTTACCTGACCAGTGTCTTACCGTATGATCAGTATGTGTTCTGTCTGTCTGATCTTGACATTGCCAACCAAAACAGCCTGCAACTTGAAGGAATGACTGACGAACCACCTTGGAGTGGTATCAATTGACATCGGAACGGCAACTTTGTGAGACTTGGCATCCCTTTGCTGTAGAGTCGGTGTGATGTTCTGTGCTGTCGCAAATTCTTTTTGCATCTCTGCCTGGGCCGAGCGCCGGCCACTTGGAGAGAGGAATGCTGTGCAGGACACGCTGAGCTGCACAACTTCAGTCTGTAGCTCGCAGCTCGCGTATCACCTGAAGAAATCTGCAAGACTGTATGATCACGATTGGCCTTTCCACATACACAGTTCAAAAATGACAACATTGGTGTGTCCTTGGCATCATCTCGAAATGCGGCGTGGAACTCGCCAAATACGTGCTGTGCCCCTGGTCGCAGGATGGGATGGTTTCAAATACTTCAAGCCGGCTGTACGTGAGGAGTAGAACTGTGAGTGGAACTATGTTAAACTACGTGAAACTTGCATGCAGCAAAGCATGATTGAAGAAAGCCTCTCCGGGTATTCAATTTCGACCTGAACAGCATACAATTGCATGTTGCTATTGACTGGCCAGCCTCAAGAAATCTCAATCTCAGACTCTCATGCATTTGGTGTAGTCTCCATGTGTTTGCCCGTCATGATCCAAGTCCTCTGCCAGTTCCGCCACTGAATGCAGCTCTGGAGGTATGTAAGGTGGCCGTTCTTCCTCTGGTGGAGGCCTTTGGCCGGAATCAGGCGCACCAAACTCACCAAACACCTACGAATCGATTACTACAATCTAAAGTATTTAAAAGACATTGTTGTCCAATGTTATCCATCAATGTGCATCTCTGAACCCCATTTGGAGATGTTTCATTTTGTGCTCATCCGCTGATGCTCTCATTGTCACCCCGGCCTTGGATCGTATCGCATGATCAAACCACCATCGCGGGTGTAACCTGACAGCAACAATCTCACACAAACCCGTTGCAAACATGCACAAACCATAACAGAAACTTGGCAGGGGGCAGAGATGGGCAGAGGAACGGTAGACCCGGTAGACAAGGGACAAAAAGATACAGGTAATGTCTTGGAAAGAAATGCCGGCACAATCGTGAGTGCAACCATCAGGATGAAAAGACCCATGTCACAAGTAGGCAAACTTCACCGTGAGTCGAAGGTGAAAAGTCTCCAAGTGAGACTTGGTGAAAATGGTAATCAAGTTCAGAGGATCAGAATGAACAGGGTGGATGAGGATGCTGAGGATGCTGAGGATGCTGAGGATTAGGAGAATGACGAGAAGGAGGAGAAGGATGCTGTTGCTACTTCTGCTTGTCGTGGCGGTTGTCGTATTTTCGTGCTCGTGGTGGTCGTCTTGGTGATGATGGTCGCTGAATGATATTCAATCATGATTCAATGATGGTGGTGAAGACAGTGAAAACATGATCAACCAAATGTCTTGAGGGTGTCATGAGGGGGGAACAGCGCTCCAATACTTTCACTTTCACGTGCGCCCTGCGTGCCCGATGACAATACCGACACAGATGACGCTGCTCCTCTGAGAACGGAAAACGAAATTAAAGAAGATACTGGTCATGGAAATGATGAAGACGACGAAAAGGAGAAGGAGGACGAGAGGGAGGGTGAGGGGGTGAGGAGGATGGCTGTAGGGGGGCCCACTTGAGAAACAAAGATGTTCATTTTCCCAAAAAACAAACAAATGGCAATAGCCACGGCTCCCAACAATTTTTATCAAATTCTATGTGCTGCGCTAATCTTCATACAGACTATAATATTCAAAATTGCTACAAGTCAATGTTTCGAACACGAAATCGAAGGTGTCAAAAGGCTCAAAGTAATTAACGCCAATAATTTACCATCGAAACCGAACATATCTTGGGAGATCGTTGAGAACTCGGGTGTTGGCCAAAAGCTCGCGGAGAACCAGGAGCCGGCTCACCAGGTGCAGCTGCAGCCTGTCCATGCGGCACACAAAGCAAGAATGTTGCAAACAGCAAAAAAAACATGTCAAACAAAAGAAATGGTCTTGAATATATATAGAGAGAGAGAGATTAAACATATGAACAAAACATACGTGTGTACAATATTTGTATATATATGTATAAAAACATTGTCTCAAATATCTCAAATGTTCTGCTTTGGGCTCATAACATGCACTGCTGCGCCTCATCACCTGCCGGACCGCGTCTCTCTGACCGCACCAACGCACGGACCTCATTTAGTCCCTAAGCTCCAAGCTGCAACATGAATTGGTGCATTGCGGTGCAGTGCTGGCGAGGCACATCTACCCGGCAAAGAGGGCATGTCACATTGCGCGAAAGCCACTCTCTGGCGCAGTCATCGTGAAAAGTGTGCCGCGCAGCACAAGGCAACTGAACAGCCTCCTGCATTCAATGCCAGTGCTGCACATCTCCCTGCTGACACAATACAACCCAGTCCTCCCCGACCTCCACATTGGCTAAGCAAATGGCGCATTCTGCTGCCGATTCAAGATTTCTTCGGGCCAACGCTTGAAAGTCTGCATCTTCAAATCGCTCGACCGAAGGCATTCCCATGGAGTCCTGCAGCATTTTGCAACTACCCCCTGCTTGAGGCATACATAGAGCGGTTTGTGAAATGCCACCTGACGGCAAGTGCTCGTGGTTTTGGGTATATAAAGCAGATAACCAATTCAAGAAAACTGAAGGCAATGCACAACACATTGGAAAACCAAGGGAGCAGGACCTCGCTGCAATGCTTTCCATTTCAAAGTAGTACTCCGCACACTGGTGCTGAATGAAACTAGGAGGGCCAAAGCTGCGTCAAGGTCGGTTCTAAAAATCACATGCGCGGTCACCATTCCCTGTTCGAAAAATTAATCTCTCTCTCTCTCTCTCTCCATCGCTATCTCAAGAGATCAGCAGTCAAGCTGAAGGCGAGCTTAAAAAAAACGACTTGGCAGGTCAGCACCCAAGCTCGTTAGCCAGGCGCGTCATGTTCTTATACATCTAACTTATATTATATTAATATCAATATCATCAAATTACAATATATCGTTTCACTGTTTTTCCTTAAAGGTGCAAACCTGGCATACCTTTGGCATCCTTTGGCAGGGTTTCTGCCCATTGTTTGGGGTGGCGCACGGTTTTGTTTGCAGCACCCAGAGCATAGGTTGGCGTGTGAGGTGTGCCGATGGATTTTGATTTTGCAATTTTTGTTTCGGTTCAATGGGTCCAAAGTGAGCGCCATGGCAAGAATCATGTGCATGAAAGGCAAAATCCAATTGTGTTGGGTGGGTGAGAACAAAAAATGTTGTAGGCCATCGGTAGCCATGGCAACTGCCCACCAAGAAAACGTATGAAAATGAATTTGTTTGATCTGGGTCACCACCACTCAAAAACTTACACCCTGCACGTCATGGTCTAGGCAAGGGATGCTTGCTCGTGGGATACGAATACTCTGCCTCAAGTGATGCCCACCCTGGGAAGTTGATTTGGGCAAACGAAATCTGACATGCATTCAAACGAATTCACTGATGCACATTTGAGGCATTATCTGGGACATTGAAAGATCATTAGGTTTTTTTTTGTGCACATCTTATCCGACATATATTCTGCTGTATAGCCTGGCATGTTTCCTTACAGTCTGACATAGTTTTGATATGCATTCTGACATGCATTCTGCCATTTATTCTGGCAGATGATCTGACAAACATTCTCCCAGACCTTCTGACCTATCTACCTGACACGTTTGCTGGCACCTGATGCGGCTGTGTGATTAACTCATTACCCGCCGTTATTTGACACATATTATGACACATATGCTGCAACATATCCAGAGATGGTATCAGAAAATCTCTGAAGTAGATTCTGCCATACAGCTTGAAATATACAGCGGCATGTGACCTGGCATACTTTTGGTCCGCGAGAAGCGGTATTGAAATGAAGCCCGGCGCGGGATACAGGACTCTGAGGCTGGCGGAGTGAGGTCCATAGGATCGTGGATATTGTACTGATTTGGCAAGAGATCTGCCACATATGCGCGGCAAAGAGGAAAGGAGGAAAGAGGAAGAGGAAAGCAACTTACAGAAAATCAAACCCTTAACCTCATACGTAATCTTAAAACCAAATATATACATTAGATACTGCCCAAAACTGAAAACAAACACCGCATTTTTGTATTTCCCTTCTTTTCGCTCCCCATCAGTTGCCATCTCCGCTTCAATCTCGGCTCGGCGAGCATCTACCCGATGGAAATAATCCTCCAAATCTTCCATGACCTGGGCACGTCTTGACGTTTACAGCTCCAACTGCATCTAGTTCGGAGAAAATTCACAAAATAATACATCAAAGAACTAAACAATGTTGTGATTTAACATAATTGTGATGCAAATGCCCAACCATCACAATTGTAAAAATATGTAAAAATGCTGCAAGACGCATTTGCAGGGGGACCTTGGCTCGCTCCTGGATTTGCGCCCGGACCTGAGACATTCCTCCATGCCGCTGGTTCATCAGCCTCCTGGGGGAACAAAATTTCACCAAGACCGGCCATGATACAACACGAAACAAAGTTAAACATTTAATCAAAACACTCACATCTTACTCTCAAAATATTTCATCAAAACATCCTGCCAAGGAGAAACAAATTGAACCTCCTGAATGTATCTGTTTGTAACTTAAACTCCTGAAAAAATTCTGGCCCATTGCGACCAAGTTTCGCTATCGGAAGTATCAATGTGGTCGAAACGCGAATAATCGACCATGCTTCGATGGGGCACCCATGACCGAAAGTAGCAGTAATTCAAACACGAAGATAATGCTACGCCAAATCTAAAACGTCAGAGCGGTGAATGTTGGCGTACATAGTGCCGTTGTTCCAAAATAAACCTGAATGTCATTCATGTCATAATGTTCTCAAGGTATTGAACTGAGTGGCAGCGGAACACTGCAGAACACTCATGAACAGACAAAAAAGGAGAAAAAACGGTTTGCGCGTTACATGGTTTGCACGATGTTGCACATGATGACGCACAGACCAGGCCACACATGGACGATGTAAATCATCTTACTTACACTTGTCAAATCCGTCGAGGTGGATACACCACACATATTGGAAACAATGAAACCGAAACCAATTGGTTGATCTTGTGAAAATTCGAAACGTCTACAAGTGACAAAAACGAAAATTCACAACGTAAGGTACTGGCCAGCACTGATCATGCGGGTTGTCTAATTGGATTTGTTTAATATTTTGTGTGTAAATGTTTGTGTTTGTGTTCCCAGGGTTGCCGTGGGAAACGTCCACCAACGCCAACGATATTTTCAACATGTTATTATCGTTGCGTCATCGTTTTGGCTGCGCAACCCTGCCCAATTGCAAGTATGAGAAAATGTCAACGCTAATAAATATTAGCATCGAAGCGGTCAACGCACCTGCGCATACAGATGCAAACGATTCACCCTGGAATGCTGAGCGCGGCTACTTCTCGAGTCCATCAATAACTGTTTGATATTCTTTGGCCTCACACAAGCCGAAACCCAGCATCACACCAACACCCTGCTGCGCCAAAACTTGACATTACACGGAAATGCGGCCAAACTTGACCGCCCGGCCAGCCACAACTTGGAATTCAATTTCCAAATTTATCATAAAAATTCTAACAACCAAAACATTTCGCCAGCAAGAGGCTCTAAACACTGTGGGTGGGTAGGAACTCAATGTACCAGATGCGAGCAACAATAGGTACAGTATGGAGCAATAACAGATCAGGTTGGACACGATCGTCGCTGCACAGCAGGACCGTTTTTTGGCACAATAAAGAAGTTTATGATGTCTACTCATCAAGGCCTCCTACCAGAATTTGACACCAGGAAATCTAGGGGAATTTCAAAAAATCGTCAAAGAAGGACCTTCTACATAGAGGATCTTAGAACCTCCTATGAACATCCTAGAGACACTCTCAAACGAACACCAACGCAGAGCATGTTCAAGATCTAAATGCAAGGACCTCCTGGGGAGGATTGCAACAAGATCTCCGCAAGATCTTTTCACAAGAACCTGTATGAGATCATGCAATTAGGGTCTTCGACCCGGACGTTATCATTTGACTTGAACTCCCGCAGTGAATCCTGCAAATGATGGTTTCACTAGACTATATCCAATCAAAGAAATGCCTTTTTTTCACATGTCATCCCCCGCCCCCACGCAATTGTTCCAACCATCTAAACACAAACCATGCCATTCAATAAAACATCATAAAACATAATAAAACTATGTAAACCTTCCGAGTTCTGTTTGGCTGATCGTGTTTCCTTCGAAACAAATGCGCTGCATCGTATTTTCCCAATTTGCACATGCATCTGTTTTCTTGTATTTACGAAACTATCGGTTCCTTCTCGGTTGTTTTTTATTTATCCTTGCCAACCTTGTGACATACAACACAAAAACAATCCAGCAAGGGTATGCCCCATGAAAGCCTGATATCCTCAATCAAAGAAACATTGTTGCTCAATATGCTCAATGAAACTATTATGGGCTCTCAGTACGTGAAAATAGCCCCTTGTGTTCAAAACACCGTTCCGGTCGTTCGTCATGATGCGGACTTATTGCAGCCAAATTGTTGCATGGTTTTCACTTAATTTTTGTGGTTGTTTTGCTTGTTTCATTCAATGACATCCTGTTGTTTTTCAAGTTTGTCTTTTCAAAATTTTGTCCACATCGATGTGGCGCCACCGTTTCGTGCATGTGGCGCCGGGGAACAACGAAACACACGTTTTATTAGTCCGAGAGGATGTTGGAAAATCAAAGAAATGTAAGTGTAGCACCCAACGATTCTATCACAACGCAAAACACAAAAGCTTTATTTGTTCCCACCACCCGACCCGCTAAAACTTTTCCGGCCCCCCACTATCAATGTTTTTTCATCGAAATATTGGAAAGCTTCGAAATCGAGTTTTGGGCAATATTTTATATAAATTTTAATATGGTATTAAATCAAATTTGAAATCAACTATTTTTATTTTAACTTCGTTGGAGTATTAAGGGCGCCCAAATACAAAATACTCCTTAATAACAAAAATATACAAAAATATAGATCACCGTGTTTGCCATTGGGTGGAGGGGGGGGCAGTCTTTCAGTAATAGGGGGAAAAGACTACAGGAACCCTAAGCGAAGCAGCGCGCCTCATAACTAGGCACTTTGCTGACCGAGCCTGCACATCGCCATCGTCCAAAATGATTGCCACATCCATAAAGGTTTGGATCCGCGTCGCAGACACGCTCGATGTCCGACAGAATCCGAAATCCAATGGTCGACGGCTGGCCACCATGCAGGCCCATACTGGGATTTAGATCAACTGCATATCCAGACAAGAGCCAAGCCCACAAGAGCCTCCCCCCCTTATGCCTCCGCTTTGGATGCTTTGTGCAAGCGTGGGACATGTCTCGGCAGCGAGCTGCGGGACATATGTTGCGAGCAAGCAAGGGCCTGACTCACCCAGGACAGCGAAGCTGTTCGATCCCAGCCGCGGAAATTCCCTTCACGACCTTTGGTCCTAAGTAGTGGAAAGTAAGGTTCAAGTTGGAACACCCCCCGTACAGTTGTATGAGCCCGATACGCTAAGCCCCTTCTGTCGTTCATATAAAAAGGTGTGAAACCGCTTCGCATGGTAGCGGAGCTGGTCGAGCTCTAGGGCCGATCAGCTACCGCAGGCGAGTAACACCGCAGCGGCGCAGTCTGGTAGTACCGCCCGACACAACGTCGACGTCGAGCAGTGTGACAAGAGCTGCCGACACAACTACACGCGGATAAGGACAAGGCAAAGGAAAGAGCAGGAGCGCGGCATCTGTGGAAAGGAGACTGCTCAAAGGCATAGCAAAGCGTTGGGAACAACAACTACAAAAAGAAGACAGCGCAGAGCCAGAGGTCCGTCCTTTGGCCCTACACCCGACCAAACTCGCGCAACAGAGTACTACCAGGCACAGAGCGAAGCTGCTTCTGCAACAACCGGTGGGCACAGCAACTACGCAAAGTTCCTCGCACCTCACGCCAGGTTGAAACGTCCTTTGGAACCACCCCGTTCACAAGGCGAAGGTTCAGTCTACAGCCGGGTGTTGCCCAGGTGTGAAAGGGAACTCCCACTTGTAGCAGCGGAGGTAGCAAAAACACCCAGGAAGTCAGCGAGGCGAAGCTATCTTTGTTCTGAAGCGAGAGCAGTCAGTGCGACCCTGGGTTCCAAGGCAGAGAAACGTGAAGGAAAGGAGGGCGGAGATAGTGACGGAGGAGCTGAAGGGTTTGAGCCAAACGTGAGTGCCAGGCGATAACAACGTGGCGATACGTGGCGCGGTTACAGCTTGTGCTGGAAGCGTTTCGCCAACTACACGCTATACTTCTCGCAGTTCATCGTGCACGAACAGGGCAGCTAGCGCTACAACATGGCCACCTTCAAACCCACCATCGCCAGGCTACAACTCGGAAGTCGCGACCCCGGCGTGGTACCAGCACGACACCTCCAGGCGTCCTACGAAGTGAGCTGCGTGAGAGGTAAAGCTCCCTCCCCGTCTGGTAACACCGCGTGAGTGCTGACACTTGCGTGTGCAGACAGGGCGGTTTGAAATTCGGATTGTTTCACCTGCGTTTTGTGGTAGGAAGTGCTTTGTGAGAGTACAGGGTTGCAAGCCGTCACCCGTGTTTGTTGTCCCTGTTTTTCTGTTTGTTCTTTGGTGGAAGCGATGGAGGAAGTCGCTCGCAATTTGCAAACATAAATTGAACAGCTGTCCCAACAACATACAACCCTGAACCGAGCAAGCATACGAACAACAGGGAGCAGCACTGACAGCAACGCGCAATGAACTAAACAACGCGAGGGCTGAATTGAATACAGCACTATACAGGGGTCCCGGTGGCAACCTTGAGGAAACACAAATCGTAGAGTCCAGAAACATCTCGAAGGCACCAATTTTTGATGGGAAACGTGAAAACTGGGAACGGTGGAAGTATGCGTTTGTAGCATGAGTTTCTACAGTGAACGCTTGTTTTCCGGGGTTGCTGGAAAAGGCCGAGAGCTCAGTGACTCCGCCGGAACATGCCAGTATGTCACCAGGTGAAATTCGTCTGAGCAGAGCATTACTCACAATTTTGATGGGGTATGCGCCCGATTTTGTTAATGGCACAGCATGCGCCAGAAGGAAATGGCATCGAAATGTGGCGTATGCTTGTCAAAACTCATGAGCCCTTATATAAGTCAAAATCATGCGCTCAAACATTGCTTTATATACGTGCGCACCTTGTTGTAGGAATCTAAGGCATCTGCATGCATGAAAATGGATTGTTGGAGTTCTTTTGGCGCAACATGAGCCAGAACTGACAATTTTTCATCCTCATCAATTGTTTTTTTGAACTGCCTCTCAGACTCTCGAATTTCCGGTTCCCATTGGTAGAAAACCTCACTCGATTTGGTTAATTCAGCTGGGAAAATTGGCCTCGTTAAATGCTTACGCCATTTGCGGAAACGACCTCAGGGAGGACAGTTTCGCGCAACAAGCAGTACCAGACCGAAGCAAAATCCAAACGGACCGGCCCCAATGGACATTGGGGCAGTCAAAGGCAAAGGCCAAGGCCAAAAGGGTCAACAGCAAAGGCAAAACGGACAAAGGCGAAGGAAAAGGCAAAATCCAACAGCAGCAGTGGAACCAAGCATGGCAAACACAAACGCAAACTTGGGATCCAAAGTACGCCAGCGACAAAGGTGACGGCAAGCCCGGCAAGCACAAAGGTAACACGCTGGTGCTTCTGTAACACGCACACCCATTGACAAAACGAAACGACAAACATTGTATTCAGTTCAAGGTGTGGCATTGGAAGCTTATGGGCAACAAACTCCAGTAATCGAACTTGAGGACGGATTGCGTGGAACCATCCGTGTGACAGTGACGGATGCCAGCGAGAACGATGAACTTTTGGGTAAGAACTGGGAAAGGGTAGTGTTTGGTTAGATGTCGAATTTTCTCGAGTACGAGAATGGCAAGCGCTATCCATTAACAAAATTTGGGAAAAGGTTGTGGATGCGACTAAAAAAATGTGACTTGCAAACCCTCCGGAGCCATGAATGGAGAACCCAAGGACATCGAAGGACCCATAGATATTTCGAGTGCATAAGCGCCCCCGAAGAACGTTGCTCACCCCATTGGATTGCGACGATTGCCCTGTTGACCCGTCTAGGTTGGAAAACGGTAGATTGACACGCATGACTTGTGCCGGTGGGGGTGGTTAATACGTTTTGGAAAATATTTGGGACACAGAAAGCAATGCGAATAGACGTTTGGCCTTGTACTGGGTAGGTGGAACGTGTTTCAAACTGAAGGAAGACATAGCAAGCGAACATTCACATGCAAACAATCCCGATGCAAACGCGCAGTCTGCACACTGCAAAGTGCACCTCATGAAACATGACACGGGCACACGCGGCATGCATCCTATGTCGCTTCCGCGCGAACCGTTCCCGGAAGAGCGAGCAGAACATGACATGCATCATGCCACGTATGCAGCATGGTGTCCACATTGTGTGGCAAGACAACGTAGGCAAGAGTAAGGTGAAGAGGTGCAGCCTGGCGATGTAAATGGTGAGATGGATGGAAGTGATGTAGTGACAGTCCTTACTGCCATTGACAAAGATTCGCGTCGGACCTTTGCAGTAGCAATTCCATCAAAAAAGATGGACGACCCCATCAGCTATGCTGTGAAATCCTCTGAAACTTGGTTGCCAGGTTTAGGTTGTAAGCAGTTCACCGCGCAGACAGACCAGGAATCGGCCATCCGGAAAGTTGTGAAGACAGTTTAAAACAAAATTGAACGCGACAAAATGCAAGAGCGACAAACCGGAGGTATTCTTCCCAATCCCTTGCTGAAGGGGAGACAGCGAACCAATAGATTGCAAGCCGGGCTAAGACATGGGCCAGCGTGCGCTCAGAGCAATACCGTGTGGACATACGCAACACGCACCGTCTGTTTCCGTGGGTTGTGCGACATGTTGCATGGGCAATTGCACGTTTGTATGTCAATACAAGTAAGGCTACACAATTTCGCATCATCAAGGGACATGATTTCTTTGGTGAACTTATGCCTTTTGGTGAATGCGTGCAAGCAAAGTAACCGAATATGAAAGATTTAGCTAAAGGTTTTCCGCGTTGGGTGCGTGGCGTGTTTGTGGCGAATGCCGAGGAACCTGACGAGTTCATAGGGCTAACTCCAGCCGGAGCCAAAACTTTCCGTACCAATGGAGGGACAAGGCCCTTAGAAAGCAGGAAAGCAACTTAGAAACAAAGTTTAGGGGCGGCTCACTAAGTGCGAGGACATCTTACAAAAAGGTGGGCTAGCTAAGGGGGCCAAAAACACGCTTGGAAATGTTGGTTTAGGTGGCAAAAAAAATGCTTACAAAGGGGTGCCTAGGCTGGAAAAGGAACCGCTTAGACAGGGGGCGGCTCACCAATGGAGGAAAGGCAGCTTAAAAATTGGAGGGCTGGCAAAAGGAGCATATTGGACCGCTTAGAAAGGCGGCGGCTCAACCAATGGAGGGACAAAGGCCCTTAGAAATTAGGAGGGCGGCTTAAAAAGAGAGCTTAGGGGCGGCTCACCAAGTACGAGGACAGCTGACTAGCTAGGGGAACCCAGAGAGGTGGGTTTGGGTGGCAAAGACATGGCTGCCTAGGCTGGAAAAAGGGCGGCTTAGAAAGGGGGCGGCTCACCAATGGAGGACAAAAACATATTTTAGAAAGCAGGAAAGGCTGCCTAGAAAAAGGGCCGGCTGAGGAGTGGAGGGGTGTCACAAAACCCGCTTACGTGTAGATATACCGCCCGGGGCCCGGGTAGCCAACGAATTCACCAAACCTGCAAACCCTGAAGGTCAGTTAAGGCAATTTTGAACGAATTAGGTAAATGTCATTGTTTTTTCTGGATAAGTTTTTGAAGTTGAATTAACTTACCTAAGGTAACTAGTTAACTTACCTAATGTAACTAGTTAACTTACCTGAGGTAATTCATTGAATTTGCCTAAGGTAACTCCTTTGATTTGCCTAAGGTAAGTCTCAAAATTAAATTGCCTGCAAACAGAATGATTTTAGTTTTGTTTTTCCTAGGGGTTATTGCTTGATGCGTTGTTAGGAATTATTGTTGCCACATGCTGTGCTCACATTTCATGGAACAGTTACTGTGTTGTCCAAGTTACTGGTTTGCAGAAATTGCTGTGAACACTGTTGTGTTTGGCAAATTCTCTGGTCATTTTTGCAGGTACCACCAAAAGTGTGGAGAGTTTTGTGTCACAGTTGTGTCGACTACATGGGTGAACAGAAAACATGTGTTGCCATTTTTTCGGAGTTCCCATGTGACAACACATGGACACTTTTTGGAATCATCCATGTGATAAATGTTTCATGTGGAAAAAAACAGAATTCACAAGTTCCCCTTCTTTGTCGCCGTGGGTCGAGCTAAGCCAGATCCAACTGTCAACGTGTCTGACTTGCAGAGGTGCTTTGAAAAACTTATCCACAGGGAAGGAACTTGGGATCTTTCCAAATTTCTTCTTGTCTGGCATGCTTCTTTGCCAGGTTGGAAGAACTCCCCGGATGCCACTTACCTTTCTTCTTGCATAGTTCCTTTATTCCCAAGACCTGTTCAGGATCTGCCCCACTGGTGCTTCCAGTTCGAAGAAGCTGAAGACTTGCTTGGAGAAGCCGAGCCTGGACAAACAGAAGGGGATTAACTTTTCAAAGGATCCAGAGTTTGTGCTCCATGACAAGGTGGGCCACCAGATTCGAGTGGCATGTGCGCACTATAGAGAGCGCAAGAAATGCAACAGCACTTATGCCAGGTGCATCAGGAAGGCATCCTTGGCAGAAAAAAACAAATTGATGCAGAGTTGTCTTGTTTACAATTGGATGCAAGCGATTTCCTTCAGCCTGGTGAACCTGAACAACCTAATGTTGCTGAAGCTGAAGGACCCACGGAAACAGTGGACAAATCGCCTTTAGTCCATGTTGACAAGTCTGCAGTGGTCACTGTGGAGAAACCTGGTGCCTTTGAAATTCCAGTGCCAAACATTTACAAGAGGGTGTTGGCAACGAAAGATTCACATGTTTCCACTCCATCCAAGCAACTGAGGAGAAAAACGACAGTATTGGAAAATGATGTTTCCAGTGGCTTGGCATTGGTGCCTGCTCTTTCTTCACCACCAGATTTTCCTCGCTTTTACAAGGGTACCAAGCAGGGGATGAATCTGAGACGATGACAAAATTCGTTTGTGGAGGATGCGAACGAGGAATTGCTTGGCTGGACGGTGCAAGAAGCAACTGTGAAGAAGGTGAACAAAAAAAAAAAGGCCAAACCTGCTGAAAAAAAATAGGAAATGGTATGAAAAAACTAGTTGCTGCAGTTTCAACTCTTCAAAAGCCGAAGGCGGCAAATAAGAAAAAAAACATGATGCAGGTGGCCCTGACTTTTTGATAGCCAGTCCAAGTGTCAGAATTTCAGGTGGCAAGCAACAGACCTATTTGCAGCATCGACCTGGGGGTGGAGCATACAAGTT